TGCCTGCTTTTGTTTACTTCTAAGGATCCTCAGGTATTTGTTTTTTATATTTTTCCCAGAGTTTATCAACTGTTATTAGTGGGGGATTTTCTATAGGTGTAGATGTGGAACTCCAGCAAATTATTTTGAAATTGAAAGCATGCAACATTTAACATGTCAAAAACATGATAATAATATAAAAACTCTTTTATTTTCCCATTTTGGCTATTTAAGTAAATTAGACGAAGGAAGTTCAAGAAGGAAAGACAGAGCATGGGGAGAAGAAAAAGGCAGGGAGATGTTTTGTTGTTCCATTGTCTGTTATGTATTTATGTTTGTATGTATATATGTATATCACAAAGTCTATGGGCGTATTCTAGGTACTGGTTTTAACAGTAGAATAAGTTTTAGAGTCTTGAAATTTCTATGGGCTTCTGAATAGTTTAGAAAAGAGCTTTTTGTGAGTTTGAAAACAGATTTTCTCTATTTTCTATATCATTTTTAACCAGCACAATATAAGTGTGAGTTACTATTATTGATATTATTAAGATTAAAGACAGCAAAACAAATATTACAGAAAGTATCAAAAAATAGAAAAAATACCATTATCTTATTCTTTTAGCAAAGTTGTTAAAATGATTATATACTACCTATTAAGCTTTTTCATAAATTATGATCAGTGTAAAAACAGATCTCACTTCTACCACTGCTATTTCAAAAACAAGTAATTGTTTTCAGAATATTTTTGTTTTTCTTGCAATGTGAAGATTTTACCAGATGTGATAGACTTTCCTTGGACTTAGATGTTTCTTTTGGAACTTTTGTGTGCATTGGAAGTTGAGGTTGATAGGAAATTTAGGAAGTTAATCAAGATGATATTTGCCCATGGACCCAAGAGAACCTAAATCTTGTCCTTAATGTGTCACTCCTCCCACTGAGGTGCCCATGACTATATATAGAAGAGATCAAGGCCTCCATATAACCAGCTGGCACTTTGGCCCGATTCTCAGTATAATAATCTGATGAACTAGGCCTAACATATGAAGGATTCCTTTTCCCGTGTGAGGTGGTTCCACGTAGCTTAGAACCAAATTATCTGGTGGTCTGCTCTGTTCATTTCTACCTTAGTTGTTGTATAGAGCAGAGTATGGATATTCTGTTCCAATAGGAGGAACAGCCACGCCTGCAAGAACCAGAGAGCAACCTGCCCCAGAAGCTAGAGAATCCACTAGTTTGCTCTCTTTGGGTTTCTAGCCATTTGTGGTTGGAGAACTTGATTCTCATGTCTGATCACACCTTGTAGGAGAGGAAAGAAGGCTGGCTCTTGGCCTTTCTGACTACCTCACTGTTCAGGCACTGAACCTCCTGGGAGAGGAAAAAGAAAAAGGCTCAGAGTTCCAATAATTGGGAAAGAAGCAGAGAGTAAAATTACTGCTCAGGTTGTAAAGATTTCAAGCACGTTCTGTCCCATTTTAAAGTGTAAAGTAAACTTAACCTGGATTGTGAGCAGCAGGCTTGACACCGTAAAACTTTTGGGGACACCTACATTATTTTTCCTTGAGACTCTCCAAACCAGAACTAGTCTCTTTCTTTTGATAAACTGCTAAAAATAAAATAAATTTAAACATGCTAAAAGAGAGAACATGTTATTTTCCCATGAGATTGGATGTTTAAAAGTCATTTTACATATTTTGTAGCGTTGAGGGGTGGGTGGGGGGAAGAAAGGCACCAAGCTTTGATGGACTGCCCCATTAGCTTTGAGATACCACCTGCCTTGAAAACACAAAAGAAGTTCCTGTCAAAGTTAGAAGTTCTATATCCTATTGGTTTATTTTTACATGTGAAGAGCAACTTTCCTTTAAAGAACTCAAGGGAATGTACTGAGAAATGTTAAACAATGAACACTTGATAAATTTCAATAGCAAACCAAGAGCCTGAGAGAAGTTGGGTTGGGAATACAAAGCAGGAACTAAGAAACAAAAGGGAAGTGCAGTTGGGAGACTCAAGTCAGATTCTCATCAGGTATTAATGTGCTTCTGTTCTGTGCTCTCTTCCAGTCACAGCCTTTTGTAGGAAGAAATGCAGATGGTGTCAGTGTGAGCATATTACCACCTGTGCAAACAATAATAGCCAAAACCCTATGACGATGATTATACAGCATGTTTTATAAAAAGGGAAACTTCCTTAAGGGTTTTAGAAATCATTTCTAATATTCATATAGTATGGTGCAAAAAAGAGCAAACAGTATATTATTTTCACTTTTTAATATGAAATCTGGTTATGGATAGAACTGAACTCTTCAAGGTCTAGGCATTGGTGGAGATGGGTAGAGAAAGAAAGCCTATTGATTCCCAGGTGAGAGCTCTGCCATGTAGCAGGGTCTTCTGTTTGAGAATCACCGGCAGATGTTAGAGATTAAAAGCAATATGACTCTATTTAGAGGCTAAATAAGATGTTTTGTTCATATTGACCATACTGCATGGTAAATGAATAAATCTAATTGTGAAGGTAATTTTTTTAATGAATTAATCTTAAATCCAACCAAGAATGTGGATTAGATGATAAGCAAAGAAATGCAAAGTAAAATAAAATTTTTTCCACATTTAAGTCTTAAATCCATCTTATTTTGGAATATGGCATAAAATGAGGTATAATTCCCTCCCCACCCCCAAATAATCAACGAATTGCCTCAGCACAACTTATTGAATAATTCTTATTGCCAATTTAATGCTGTCTTTACAATATAACTCATAGTGTTTTTAATTCTTTTGCTCAGTCTACATGATGATTCTAGCAGTAGTATATCTGTTTTAATTCTTATATCTGTGTAAGTTTTAATTATCTTGTTAGACAAGTGCTCCCTCATTTCCCTTTTTCAAAATTTTGCCTAATCTATCCTGTTTATTCATTTTTATTTTTTTTAAAGATTTCATTTATTTATTTGACCCAGAGAAAGAGAGATAGTGAGAGAGAGAGAGCACAAGCAGGGGGAGCAGCAGGCAGAGGGAGAGGGAGAAGTGAGCTCTCCGCTGAGCAGGGAGCCCGATATGGGACTTGATCCCAGGATGCTGCGATCATGACCTGAGCCTGAAGGCAGCTGCTTAACTGACTGAGCCACCCAGGTGCCCTAATCTATCCTGTTTATTACTTCAATGAGTCCAGAATTACTTTTCAGAGTTCAAAAATAGAATTTTTAGATTTTGATTATGATGGCATTAAACCAATACAGTATTTTGGAAAGACCTTATATAATTAAAATATCTGATTTTTTTCACCAAGGGACATTAACTATCTATTTAGTCACATCTTTCCTTTATGTCCGGTAAAATTGTAATAATTTATTCATGCAGTTTCAGTACATTTCTTATTATGTTTAATGCTAGATACTTATTCTTTTAAAAAATTGTAAATGGAATTTTAATCACTGTGTTTTTGAATGGATCATTTTGGTATAAAGGAAGTTATTGGTTTTTGCATAAAATTAAAAAAATTAAAGCCTTGCAGAAATCGATTATAATTCTAAATAGTTCTTTGGTTTAGATCTTCTAGGTAGATAATCGTATTTGCAAATAATGATATTCCGGAGGTGTTTCTGCTTTATTATTTTTTTTCAAAGAACCTTGGCCTTGGGTTTCCTAAAAATAAACAAATTAGTTTTTCTAATTCATTATTCTCTACTTTTATTTTCATTGTTTTACTCTTATTTCTTAAAACTCCTCTCTTCTTGGCTTCTGTGGAACTCTTCTCCCCATTTTCCTCTGTGTTGCTCCTGCTCACCCCACCTCCCAGAGATGAATCTCACCTACCAAAGAATCTGTCATTGGGCCCTTCCTTCTCTATTTATATTTCCTGTTAGCCTGGCTTTTGTTAATGACCTCCGATCTCTCAGGATCTGAAAATCCACTTAATGATCATAGATGAACTGTCCCTGATGAATACCAGTTTTTTAAAAATTATGGTCATAAATACACATAACATAAAATTTACCATTTTAACCATTTTTAAGTGTACAAGTCACTGAATAGCAGAAGCTTTATTGTATACTTGGCTATGACCAAGACTTCATCAAGATGATTCAAATTCCTATTTTATGAACGATCTTTAATTCCTTCCATTTATTTCTTCTCATTGGCCAGATCCTATCAGTTTTACCTTGTTATGTCTCTGTTTTCACTCTGCTCTGTTACCAAGGCCAAGTCTTATGCTCAAGCTGTGGAGACTCTTACTGGCCTCCTTCCCTTTATTCTTTGTCCCATTCAATATCCCCCAAGCACCAGATCCTATCAAGCCATATTCTGTTAAAAGTTTTTGAATGGTTTTCAGTAGCCAAGAGAAAAAGTACAAATATTTGGCATTCAAGGCCTCATGATCTGGCTGTAGCCTACCTTGTTGCTGATCACCTCTCTCCATACAGTGTGCTCTAGCTCAGGAGACATATGGAGGGAAGTGGGCTGGGTAAGGGATGGAGACACTCAGGACCAGTTGGAGAAGGAAGAGGAAACTGCCATCTTGCCTCGAGAATAAGGATTTGGCCTTTGCATTGCCAGAGCCTTCATTTTTTTTTTTTCTCCCCAGAGAACCTGCTAATCTGGAATTTTATGTGAAAATCTCTCAATTTAAAATTGTTACAAATTAGTATCTTTGAAAAACTTGGAGCAATTGAAAAATCTCTTTGTGGGCTAGATCCAATGTCACAGTTGATGGCAGGGTTTCTTTAGATTCTCTATGTCTGTCTCTCTTGTCTGGAATTGGGACATTACATTATAGTCTAAAGAAATGTTAAATCCAATAAGAGTTTCAAAAATTCCCACTGTAAGAAGGTTACTGCTTTAAAGGTTTTCCATGGTTCCTGTGAAAAGGCCAATGGATTTTAAATGATTAATACCACCCACTTGTGCCTCTGGGAGCACACCGAGCGTTCTACCCTAAGAGGCTTTTTTTGAGCTGGACTTGCATTTATTGACATGAGTTTTGTTATAGGTATGTAATATATTGTTATTTCACAGGACAAATTAGTCAAGATGTCCACAGTTTCGAAGCATTTTCGACTGAAATACAAAGAAGAATCGTACATCTTTAAAGAGTTGGAGAAGATGCGACAGGAAACTAAAAAGGATCTTCTTCGATTCAAGCAGAAGTTGGCCTCCAAGCCGGCTGTGGATGAAGCCTCAGTGTGCGGCCTCCAGGCCCCTGGCCCTGCCCCTCCTGGGGAGAAGGTCAGCGCCACCTACGATGGACCCCAAAAGCCATCACGGTCCCCTCGAGCTAAAGGCCCTACGACCCCCGCTGCGGCCCTCCTGCAGCAGGCGCCCCGAGGCGCAGCGCGGCCCCCGGCACCGAGCGAGGTGGCCGCTCCCGGGAAGACCCGGCCGTTTCGCCCGCACGACTTCTACTTGCGGAGTTCTGCGTTCCTCCGGCACCAGCCCCAGAAAAAGCCGCCGGTCATCGCCTACAGGGCTGGCACGTCGAGACCGTTAGTCCTGATGCCGCCCCCTGCGGCAAGGGAGAGGCCCGGGGCGCGCCTGGGCCCAAGGAGCCCGCGGCCCACGGGCCCCAAGCCCGTCCTGTACCCAGGCCGGGAGCGCGCCGCGAAACGGGAGACGGCCGCGCTCGCAGAGGCCCGCCAGGCCAAACCCAGGAAGGGCAGCTCCGTTTCCAGCCAGGAGGGCGACGCGGAGTCGGGAGGCCGGCGGAGGAGAGCCAGGAGTCACGCCCTCTCCGTGAGCTCGGGCTCAGCCAGCCAGCGGCGGGAAGCGCGCGGATCAGTTTCCGAAAGCCAGCCGGGGAGCATTCCGCAGGGCGACTCGTGGGAGGCCGCCCCGCAGGCCGCGCAGCCGGTGCGAGTGGTCCCGACATCCATAGAGGAGATCATCGCCTCACGGCAGTCGGAGACCCAGCTGGCCTCCGACCAGACTATCAAAGAGCTCATACAGAGTGTCCTCGGCCAGAACTACGACATTAACATGGAAGTAGGTGAACCAGAAGAAGAGTTAATATTTCTCCTGGGTAAATGCAACTTTAGGAAACATTCAGAGCATATTTAAGTGCATATGGTGTGTTACAAGCTAGACAAGCTAGACAAAACACTGGGGTGTTATTCAAGCGCTTTGAATTTGGAATTCGAATTTTTGAATATTCCATCGAGGGGGAGTGTCTACTGTTTCAGTGAAAGAAATTGAGAGGTTATCTCAAAAATTAGCTCAAAGCACATTGGTTGTAGACCTGAATAAGACATCACTGGTAACCTTTCGTTTCAAAGTCTTTGTGACTATCTAGTGTTGAAATAACAGATGTTTTATATGGAAAACTCAGTCATTTTCTGTTATAACTTAACATTAGCAGTACATTTTTATACTAAGCAGATCAATATATTACTACTAACAAGTTGAATTTGTAGTTCTGTGACATTTTTAGTGAAAATCACTCTCTTAAAATATATATATTTTTAAGATTTTATTTATTTGACAGAGAGGTGAGAGAAAGCAGGAGGCAGGGAGGAGGGAGGGGCAGAGAGAAGGGGAGAGGGAGAGGCAGAGGGAGAGGCAGGCTCCTCGCTGAGCAGGGAGCCCAGGATCATGACCTGAGCCAAAGGCAGACACTTAACTTACTGAGCCACCCAGGCGCCCCTCTCCTAAAATGTTTTTTTAAAAATTTGCTTCCTAGGCCTTCCCAGTTATAGAGATTATAAGTGATTCTTGTGTGCCGAGCAAAATGAGACACAGTTTGTGTGCATTTTGTCCCAACAACCTCATCAGGTGGATACCTATAAAAGCCCCATTTTACATAGGATGTTTCCTAGCTTTAGTGATGTTAAAGGATTGGCTCAGCGTCCAAACTAAGGAATGGCAGAGCTGGGATTCTACCCAGGTGGACACACCCCAGAGACTGGACTGGAAGCATGCCAGAACTGTCCATTTCTTGATTGTGATATGTCCCCAGGAGGGCGCAAAGCTAGATAGGGTTATAGGTTATGATATTTTGTCCATTACATAGACTGCTGTGGCAGGGACAGTCAAAGCAAAAATAGTAACAAGGGAATCTGAGTCCCACAGAAAGAGAGAGGGAGAAGGGAAGGGGGGAGAGTGGAGGGAAGGGGAGGGAAAAAGAAAAAAAGAGACGTAGTTTTTTTGAGAATGGCAATGAGGATGACTGTAAGAGGGAAGATTCTGTTACTGTTCTTGGCTGTGGCACCAAACTTCTTGTTAGTACACAGAATCCTGCTGCCACATTTTGTCTTTAAAAAAGTTTCAGCCCCAAAATACACTCTAGGCTGTAAGGAATGTGATCATAAAGCCCATTAGGGAACAAAAACATGTAAGGACAAGAGTCCCTAGTGTCGTCTCTGACCTAATGTTTGTCAGCAGAATAGGACAAATGTTTTCAGTTAAGACCCACATCTCCTCACAGTTACTCAACAGATCAGTGTGGCTGCTTTAGGGCTGTTTCAAAATGACGATTTCTTTTCTTTTCTTTTTTTATTATCTTCAGTTAGTCACTGTGTAGTACATCATTAGTTTTTGATGTAGTATTCAACCATTCATTAGTTGCGTATAACACCCAGTGCTCATCATAACATGTGCCCTCTTTTTTTTTTTTTAAGATTTTATTTATTTATTTGACAGAGAGACAGCTAGAGAGGAAACACGAACAGGGGGAGTGGGAGAGGGAGAAGCAGGCTCCCGGCCGAGCAGGGAGCCCGATGTGGGGCTCGATCCCAGGACCCTGGGATCATGACCTGAGCCAAAGGCAGATGCTTAACGACTGAGCCACCCAGGCGCCCCAACATGTGCCCTCTTTAATACCTATCACCCGGTTACCCCACTCCTCTCTGAAAACCTCAGTTTGTTTCCCGGAGTCCATAGTCTCTCATGGTTTGTCTCCCTCTCTGATTTCTCCCCCTTCGGTTTTCCTTCCCTTCCCCTATGGTCCTCCATGCTATTCCCTATGTTCCTCATATGAGTGAGACCATATGATAATTGTCTTTCTCTGCTTGACTTATTTCACTTAGCATAATCCCTTCCAGTTCCATCCATGTCGATGCAAATGGTGGGTATTCATCCTTTCTGATGGCTGAGTAATATTCCATTGTATATATGGACCACATCTTCTTTATCCATTTATCTGTTGAAGGGTATCTTAGCTCCTTCCACAGTTTGGCTATTGTGGACGTTGCTGCTATGAACACTGGGGTGCATGAGCCCCTTTTTTTCACTACATCTGTATCTTTGGGATAAATACCTAGTAGTGTACTGCTGGGTCGTAGGGTAGCTCTATTTTTAACATCTCGTGGAACCTCCGTACTGTTTTCCAGAGTGGCTGTACCAGCTTGCATTCCCACCAAAAGTTTAAGAAGGTTCTGCTTTCTCCACATCCTCACCAACATTTGTTGTTTGCTGTCTTGTTAATTTTTGCCATTCTAACTGGTGTAAGGTGGTGTCTCATTGTGGTTTTGATTTGTATTTCCCTGATGGCTAGTGCTGTTTAGCATTTTTTCATGTGTCTGTTAGCCATTTGTATATCTTCTTTGGAGAAGTGTCTGTTCATGTCTTCTGCCCATTTTTTGACTGTATTATCTGTTTTTGAGTGTGAGTTTGAGAAGTTCTTTATAGATCTTGGATACAAGCCCTTTATCTGTAATGTCATTTGCAAATGTCTTCTCCCATTCCGTGGGTTGCCTCTTAGTTTTGTTGACTGTTTCCTTTGCTGTGCAGAAGCTTTTTATCTTGATGAAGTTTCAAAATGGGGATTTCTAATTAGCTTTTGTGTGGCTCTCACAGAAAAAAGGCATTAGGGTTGTGCACTGGCGAGCCTTAATAGAGAGAACAGAGGTCTCAGTGCCTGCCCCTGTACGAAGTAACTCTGTGACATAGTCAAGGTACTTGACACGAAGAGGGGCCCGTATTAGAAACTGGCTCAGAGTCCTGCACAGTTGGGAAAGGTTACCTTTTCAGAGCAAGGGCCATAAGAGAGGAATGCCCTTGCTCTGAAATCCATTTTGAAGGGTTCAAATAGAATAAAATGTAAGAAGAAAGAGTGTCAAATGAGGAATGAATACCAGGACAGTGAGTTCTGTTCTTTCTGGCATTTTGTTTTGTGTATCGGTTTGTGGTGCTTCAGCCACCTGCATTGTTCAATGTAGAGGAGGGGCCTGGAGCATTAGAGTCAGGAACCAGGGGCACTAGCGCTGTGTTACAGGACTTAGCCTGTATCAAATGCCTTAGTCCATTATATTGATTTTTAGTGCTTTCATGATTTTTAGTGCTTTGGTGATTTCATTCTTCCTTTTTAAATTTTGCCTTTCTCCACCCCAACAATTCCAGAGGACAGAGCTCTGCATTATTTTGAATAAAAGTGCTTTCAAAAGTTTTATTAGGATAAGAAATGGCTGTGGCTGCCTGGGTAGGTGATAGATTGTAATAAAAAATACAGGTGTAAAAGTGGTGTCTAAGTTAAGATTTTAAAAAATTCCTAAGATTAGAATAAGGACATTTGTTTGAAACATTTGTAATTTATATAAACAACATCCTTTCCAGGATAAGCAAGGAATATGGCTCTTCACTTTAGGTATTTTACCTTGGAATCACACAGCAATTCTCAGAGGAAAAGCCGGAGGTAAAGACAATATTGGCAGGCTGTGTTGTCTCTGTTTAGAGCTTGGGTGAGGCCATTCCAGACCTGACATTCAGAATTTCACAAACAATAGGTCAAAAGTTGCACAGAATACCTGAAGATTAAATTTAGCTGTCAAATGTAGGTCAAACATCTAAACCAAGTTTTCTCATCCTTAACACTACTTACATTTTGGGTTAAATAATTCTTTGTTGTGGGTGGCTGATCTGTGAATTGTAGGTTATGGATGCCAGTAGCATAATCCTCTTGCTCTCCTTCCTCACCCCCTGCCCAAGTCATGACAATCAGAATATATATATGTTGCTCAATGAGACCCTGGAGAGTAGGCACCCTCCCTCCACACATTGAGAATCACTGGCCTAAACAGTATGAATACACCATGGCAGGAAGAATAGAAATGTTATATGGTCCTATGTTTGCTTTACCAAGGAATCAGTTACTCACAACATACATTCTGATTGTATGAGACTAAAGTTCAGAGACTATCTTCCAGATGTTAACTGAGGTTGAAGGAACCAGCCCACCCTTGCTCCTTTCATGTGTAGCTGCTTTTTGCTGCAAAGCTCAAAAGAAAAATGGCTTTAACATGACCTAGGTAAGAAAGAATTCATGTTCCAAGATCTTTCATGAACCAATAATATGTAGCCCACAAATGTTATATCACGAAATTTATACCTACTTCCACTTCAGGAAAGATGAAATAGATGTACTTTCCCCTATTTTTTCCATATAACTAAATACACTGTATATAAGACAAATATGAGAGTACTCCAAAAGGTGGAGAGGGGAAGACAGATTGGCTAGGGACTTTGGGTTCCAAGGAATCACATAGTGATGCTTCTTTGGGCTTTCTTTTTTGCTTCATATCCTCTGGACTTGAGATAAAGAAGCTGGCAAACTAGGAATGTCAATGGATGCAGAAAATGCTCCAGCAAAAGCCAGCTGTCTTTAGCCAAGGGATCAAGAAAGGCAAAGACTAGAGAGACAAAACTTTTAGACAATAACTGTGCTACTCAAACCAGAAACAGCAGAAAAAAAAATCTATGGCCCCATCCCCACACCCACCAGCCATTGCTGAATGGGGATCCTGGACTGTCAGTCTCACCAGGCTGTAACAAGTTACCCCAACCTTCTCCCCACTGAGGTGGTGTCAGTGGAAAGTTAAGACTTTCAACAATGCTCAGCAGTAAAGAGCCTGCCCTCTCCACTTTCCCTGTGTCACTGGAGGCCATTTGGGGGAACAGTAAGGAGATACCCCTATCCCTTACAACTAGGATGGTGTAAGTAGACGCCTAGTGGGAGCCAGAACTCCTACTCCCACTCAGCAATAACAAGGAAGCCCCCACCCCTGGTATCAACAGAGACAAAGTTGGAACCTGGACTACTACCCCTACCTGGCAGTAATGCCCTCCCC